ACGTCCTTTCTGTGTGCTTAATCACAGTTAATACAAGGTGAAGCTGTTCTGCATGACAATGAGTTAGTAAAGGTTAAATATTTTCTAAAGTAGTCTCTCCTGCTCACCAAGGCTGTATTTATTTGATCAAAAATACAGTAAAATTGTGAAATAATATTGCGACTTTAAGTAGCCGTTTTCTATGTGAATGTGTGTTAAACTGTAATTTATTTCTGTGATGTGCAGCTGTATTTTCAGCATCATTACTCCAGTCTTCAGTGTCACATGATCTTCAGAAATCAGTATAATATGCTGACTTGCTGCTTAAGAAACATTTCTGATTATTATCAATCAGTTGTACACTGAAAAAAAAAAAAAGAGACTATTTTATTTTTTTTAAGGTAAGTGGTTGCAAACCATTTATTTTAGCTACATTTAATAAAAATAATGCTGTTAATGTAACTAAAATAAATTGATTGCAACCACTTACCCTTAAAGAAATGTAGTAAATTCAATGAATACTTTTTTTCAGGGATACTGTACAATATTTTTGTGAAAACTCTGGTACATTTTATTTTCTTCAGGATTCACAGATGAATGGAAAGTTCAAAAGAACAGCATTTATCTGAAATAGAAATCTTTTGTAACATTATAAATGTCTATAAATGTCACTTTTGATCAAAATAATGCATCCTTGATGTTTGTTTGTTTGTTTATTTGTATAGCACATTTAAAAACAACTTAGGCTGGCCAAAGTGCTTTCCAATAAAACCAACATTCAGAAACACAAGAAAACAAAAACCAAGAACATTAACATAAAACATTTAAAACTCGAGACAAACCAAGACATTCAACAACAAGCTCAACCAAAAGCTTGGGCAAGTAGATGGCCTTTTAAGCGAGATTTAAAAGGACCCAGTGTCATACAACATCTGACCTCTAGGGGCAGGTTATTCCAAAGACGGGGTGCCGCAACAGAAAAAGCACGAGATTTAGATCATTTTTGTGAACAACTTACTGGCCGAGTCGTAAGGTGACATTGAATCATATCTGAGATGTATCCATGCAATGCTTTAAAAACATACAATAAAACCTTAAACTGGACTCTAAAGCTGACTGCTATCCACTGCAGCGAGAAACACTAACCTGCTTCTTAGTTCCAGTCAACAGCCTAGTTGCTGCATTTTGTAATAGTTCAAGACGATTCAACAAAACAGCAGGCAGCCCCAGGTATAGAGAGCTACAGTAATCCAGTCTTGACACAACAAAAGCCTGTTTCTAATCAGCAAACAATAAGACTTATTCTTAAATGAAAATATCCAACCTTCACCACCGAGTTTGCATGCTTATCCATTTTAAGCTCCGAGTCAAAGACCACTCCCAGGTTTCCTAAATGTTGCTTACGCACATTTGAGGCAACATAACCCAAGAAATGTAACACATGCACAGATGGCCTAATAGAACCAATTATCATGCATTCTGTTTCCGCCTCATTTAATTGTAAGAAAGTCTGTGCCATCCATAATTTAATCTCATACAGACAGGTCATCAGATCGTTTAACTCATATGTATCACGGTTTCCACACAAATATCGTGCAGCACGACTGTTTTCAACATTGATAATAATCAGAAATGTTTCTCGAGCAGCAAATCAGCATATTATACTGATTTCTGAAGATCATGTGACACTGAAGACTGGAGTAATGATGCTGAAAATACAGCTGCGCATCACAGAAATACATTACAGTTTAACACACATTCACATAGAAAACAGCTGTTTTAAACATTAATAATATTTTACAATTTTACTGTATTTTTGATCAAATAAATGCAGCCTCGGTGAGCAGAAGAGACCTGTTGTTCTGTGAAGCTCATCTAAATGAGTAACAGCAATCATAGCATCAGCAAAGCGTGCTCTAAAACAGTAAACACTCATGTATTTGTGAAGTTTGTTCTGCTAAGCTGTCTTGAGCTTGTTAGTTTATGTGCATTATGCCGCTGTAACTCTTCTGGAGTTTAATGACTCGCACAGGTTTGTGTTTTATTATTTTGCGTGGGCACGATTTCAGATTAATTTTCACACCTGCCAAACGGCCGTGAATGAATGAACGCTCTAATCCGATTAGTCCGACAAACAAGCTCCGTGTTGTTTTTTATTGTCTGCGAACAGCATCTGGATCACTAATTCACTTTAAGTCTTCAGTTACACTCCAAATACTTTTAGTTTAGCACAAAATGACAATTCTGTCACCGCCCACATCTTCTTTTGTGCTCCGCGGTTTGGTTTGGAACGACCTGCGGGTGAATAAATGATGACAGAATTTTAATTTCCAGCTTTAAAATGCAAAACGAACTCGGTGGCACTAAAGCTAGCGCGCGTTTGCCTCTTACAGCTCTAGTGACATTTCCTTTCCACCTCAGGTGGCAGCCATCAAAGTCAGTCCTGTGCCAGCCGTAGTCTCTAATTGCAGAGTTCAGGGCTGCGCTTTGGTCATTAATCAGCCCATAGCTTCCCAAATTAGACATCCTCGCCAGACGAGCTGCAGTTAGCCGAGTACGAGGAGATGAGCGCAAAAAACTGCAACAGGCCAACAATAAAAGCTGCTGCCATCTATAGGCGGCTTTCTGTCATGCTGATGCATGCTGGACTGTCGTGTGAGATCTGAATCGCAAATTGAAAACAAAATTTGAAAGATTAAAACTGGTTTTGTACAAAAAATGCTGAAATGCTAAGTGTTTTCACAAATAACCGTCAGCTTTGCCTTGCCTTGATGTCTGCAGTCGACGGGAAATGAAAGAAAAACACTGTAATTCACGGAAGCAAATTTAATACTTATGAAGTTATGTGCATGTTCAGAACGAATTCGAGCATTATAAATGTCAAGCCTATATGAGCCTGTGCTTATAGTCACGCTAAGCTACACAGTATTACACCATATTTTAGATTTGAAAAATGTAACAGGTGTGCTGTATTATTTATATAATATGAATCATGTTTTAAATTTACTTTCCATCGGAACATTTAAAGGGGTAGCCTGTTTCAGTATAGGGATTTATATTCTCACATTACTTAATATTTGTCACAAATACATTTTTTATTTATATTTTCAAATTCCTTTAATAAAACAGCATGCATTTTTGTCACGCACATACTTTGTTATTCGCTACCTGTCCTTTATTTTGACTGATAGCTACGCCAGAAAAAGATATCCGTCCACGAATTAAGAAATTGTTGCGTATTTTTATGAATTCTTTCCTTTATTTTAGTAAAACGTGAAGCACTGTATGATTTTGTTCCTATAAATGAATAAACCTAATGTGATGCATAAAAGAAACCGGATAGATTTCTGCACTCAGAATATCATGGAATAGTTTATTATTAATTATTTGTAAAACAATAAAAATTAAATTATTTAAATCAGCATAAATATGTTCACTGTGAAAACAATTAGATTAATAATTTAAAAAAAAATGAGTATGGTTAAATATGGCTTGCAACATTCAGTGAGTTCAAATGTATGAGACTGAAACAAATTGGATTTATTGATGGTAAAGCATGATATATAAACCTGGTTATTGTGTATTTGAGGCAGTCAATTTATTAATAAAATTACAAAAATCTTAAAATGCATATGTGACTGAATAATATGCATCACATTAAGTGACATATATACTGTATGCATATAATATTAAAACTGTGCAATCCGAATACATGGAAACTTTATATGCAATTCAAATACGAGGATCTTAAATTTAGACCTTTTATAATGTGAGTTAAATGTCAAAAGTTTCTGTTTTAATGACAAAAAGTAGTATTTAATGTGTCATTTAACTTACAATCTGCAAATGATTGGGAAAATATGTGCATTTAATTCACTTTACACTTCACAAAATAAGCTTTTTTTCTCTGTTTGGATGCAATCAGAATAAAATAATGTATACAATATATAACATCTTCAGAATCATTCATGCATGTGAAGATGGGCTGAGAGTTGGTTCAGATTCAGACAGGAATGCTGTGTTTGTGGTGTTTTTCTGCTATTAAGTGAAAACACAAGACTAATTCACAAATGTGTGACGTGCTCAAACACAACAGACACTGTTTCTGGAATCAGCTCCTGCAAATCAGAAAGCAAAACAAGTATTGGGTTTCATTCAGCAAACCATTCAGCAGTGTTATTCATATTTTTTTTTTTTTGTAATTCCGAAATGATAGAAACTTGCTAGAAGTGTATTGCAGTAGAAGTGTTTGCCTCAGATGTTTGTGTATTTCATAAGGAGTAAAAATAGTCTCTTACTGTCATGCGGAGTTGTAAAATGAATGTGGAGCAGCTCATGTTGATCTGAGCACAGTTTGAGACATTGTTGAGATCTAACACTCTAGAGGAGACGAATGTGAGATTACTGGCCTCGTTTTCTTAGGAGAAATATCTGAGAAGCAAAAGTTGCATTTAATGTCCGTCCTGCGTTCAGACTTTAATGATATTGATGAATTTTGCAACATGAACACTAGGGCTGTCAAAAATAAATACATTTAATTTCGAATATTCGTCGAATTTAAAATAAAAAAAATTGTTAAGGAGGCAGCTTATCAGCGGCGCATGAGATGCGATGACGATGTAAGTGTCGTTGCATTATAATGTTGTTGTTACCCTGTCCAGTTGAAGCCACTGCGGCGCTGCTACATTGTTAATAACAAATATTGCGGGAAAAGAGAACATCAATGCGGAGAAGATCTTGTTTACGTCAAAACTGAAACCAAGCTGTTCACAGAACGCATATTTCGTGCATTTTCGAGAGGGACATCTATCACCGCTGCACTCGCGTCTCGCGAAAATGAATGCAAGTTCAAGTTTGAAAAAACACATCTCGAGACTTTATGGCAGGGTTTTTCCCCTTTATCTCTGTGTGGCTGCTTGGAAACTATCTGTAGTGTATATATATATATATATATATATATATATATATATATATGACTTGATTATGATGAATAACTCTGTGTTTCTCTCTTTCTGTCACAGCGGTACTTCAGGTGTCAATATCACTGAATAAAGTGGAACTGAGTGTTGGAGAGTCAAAATTCTTCACATGCACAGGTAAGAACAAAACCTGCTGACATATTAACACACTTGACTAATCACATGTACGTGGTTTTAAAATATACATCTCAATAATCCATCACAACAGGATCTGTTTTTGCAATGTGCCTTAAAAGTAAATACACTACAGCTCAGTTTTTTTGAAAGAAGTCTCTTCTGCTCATCAGGTCTGCATTTATCTGATCAAAAATACAGTAAAAATTGTGAAATATTATTATAATTTAAAATAGCTGTTTTCTATGTGAATGTATGTTAAAATGTAATGTATTTCTGTGATGCGCAGCTGTATTTCCAGCATCATTCCTCCAGTCTTCAGTGTCACATGATCTTCAGAAATCAGTATAATATGCTGATTTGCTGCTCAAGAAACATTTCTTATGTAAATTATGTTTTGCACTCTTTTTGGTCACTTAAAACATGATCAAAGGAGACAATTCTTTTAAAATGAACATGCACAAATCATGAATGGTGACTTCTGGTGTTGCATCATGGAAGCAAATGGAAAAACATCACCTCAGTGAATCCAGCAGATTGAAGCTCCGCTGTTTGTTCCTCGGCTCTCCTCACCTCATCTTTCTAACTCTGTAACTCGCTAACAAGCATCTCCTCGTCCCTCCTATGTGACTCGTCCCAGCGCTCTCGCGGAGAGGTTAGAGAGTTCAGGCCCCTCTGATTGCAGACTCCCACACGGCTGCTTTATGACCTTCAGCCGAGCAGCTTTACAGAGCAGAGCACCTGGAGTTTGCATATGGCGCTCGCTCGTTCTCCATGTGGCCCCTCATTAAAGCCAACATTGGCCAGAGCTAAAGAGCTGTCGCAAATCACAGCGTAAACCAGATCGGAAATGAGACGTTCGCTCAGATGCATGGGATTGTTCATGCAGGAATTGTTTTATGGGAGTATGCATGTGAGGTTTTACTTCTAACTGTGTTAATAAATGCCTATATGTTGTAGGGGTTGAACGACTTCTGATCTTTTAAAGTCGACTTTTATGTGATGAAAGTCGAAGTCGACTAGTCGCTGATGACGTCATTAATGAACAAATAAGTCTGGAGCTGAGACAAACACCTTGTGCACAGCTATGGCATATGACACAGCGCTGCCCACATGGCTGTTGCTCCTATAACAGCTCATTTGTATCAGTTCTTTTGTCTTTGGGTCGTTATGCTTCTCACAGATTTCTGCTCGTTCTAAATCAGATACAGATGTCAGGCTTAAAGCGTCATGGCAGAGCATTGAAGTCGACTCGTCGGTGCAACCCCTAATATGTTGATTTTTTTCAGCCATTGGTGAGCCGGTGAGCATAAACTGGTTCAGTCCTCAAGGCGAGCGCATCATCTCAAATCAGAGAGTCATCGTGCATACGGAGGGCGTGCGGTCCAGGCTGACCATCTACAACGCCATCATCGAGGATGCTGGGATTTACCGATGCCAGGCTGTGGACGCCAAGGGACAAAGCCAGGAGGCCACGGTGGTGCTGGAGATTTACCGTGAGTTGATGAAGGGATGCTTATGAATGATGGAACCAGTTACTAAATGTCCCTGAGAAATCCTGTACACATTCCTTGAGGACCTCTATGTGTTTTTCACTTGCAGTTACTGGTGATATAATGATACGAGTCTCTAAAATGATGATGAAATGTTTCACCATGTCATTATGCTCATCATTATCAGACATCATTGCCTTTCATGAATACTGTGGTGTTGTGATGCTTCTTCACCTTACAACAGGAGAGTTTTATGTAGAATATTGAGGCAAATTAGCAGCTAGCTTAAACGAGGCTTGTCACATTGACACTGATAATTCAGATTCGGCTGAAACAAAGCCACACACCGTCCTCCCGCGCAGCTCTTCTTCAAAAGCAGCATCTCGTCTGAAATAGAGCAAATCAGCCGAGACCTGTGAGGTTAAATAACATCAGAACGGTCAAATTTTCACTTAAGATTTCATTCAAGAGTGAACAGCATTAGATATCAGCTAGCTGTGCTTGTACTAGTGCATGTTGAGGTGAAAACTCATTCACTGATCGTGTGCTGACAGTCTTATGCATTTTGCACATTGTCTAATTATTGCAAAAAGTAGCTCTCTGGAACTGTAACTTTATTATTATTTTTTATTAGTAGTCGTAGTAGTATTTTTTCTTCGAAATTCTATTTTGTTTTGTTTGTACATTGTATTTGTTCTGCATTCTGTGATGTATGGTTTACAAATGTAATCAAATTCATACAACTTCTAAATATAAATTCAATCAATCTTTTCAAATGCATTCACATGAAAATATGAGGATTTACATAAAAATAGTATTTATATTTTGTGCTGCAACAGGTTTACGGCATAAATTAAAACTGGATGAAAATAAAAATGTTTTATTTTTATTATGTTTTAGTATTACTGTGGGTATTATTACTCTGCAAAGTACATTTTAGTATAGAATAGCAATAATTTTGAGTTAAACTGAACTTGTATTTTGACGGGTTGTCATGAAGACCTCTGATTTTTGTTGTATTTTATTTTATTTTTTCCCAAATTCTGTGTTGTCTTTATTAATTCCTCTGCATTCTGTGATTTTTTTTTGTAATTTTTTTTTATTATTTTATATATATATATAT